AGGTCAGTGAAATGCCCTCAGGATTTATCCTGAGATCCTGTACCTCAGATTGTAGAACCTTTGTCAGTGCAGCCATGTGGATGAGTCACGGCCATTTTAGTTCTTTATATATTCTATAGAGCAGACCTTCGTTTGAGTGCTTATTAGTTAAGATTTTACCCAATTTGTGGGTTGTCTTCTTACTCTACTTTGTTGGTAATTTCTTTTGACATGTAAAAGCTTCTCAATAAGAGAAGGTACCCGTTGTTAATTCTTTTAAGTATTACCCATGTGATTTGATTTTTGTTCATGAACTCTTTGCCTACCTCTATGTTTTTCAAGACTACCTCCTACTTTGTCTACCAGGAGATTTAGTGTTTCTGTTTTAATGTTTAGATCTTTAATCCACTTTGACTTAAGCTTAATGTGTGGTGATAGATCTGGGTAAAGTTTTAGTTTTCCACATGTAGAGAGCCAGTTTTTCCAGCACCATTCATTAAGCTTCTCTTCTGGAGGGTTAACAACTTAAGTTTGCAAACCAAAAATTAGAGAAAAAGAATGGCTGCAAGGACAGTCAACATTTTGGCCCTAGACTTTCAAGGTCAGTGAGGCCTCAGGACATAGGAGAACCCATACTGTACATCCTGTAAGTCAGTTATGTCCCAAATTTACTGATCAAGGAGATTATGGGCCACAGAGGAAATGGATCGATGAAGTAGAGTGTGGCCAAGGAGAGTCACATTGAGAGAAAACATTCTCTCAGGATTTCACAGAAAGAAAATAGGTCAAGCGATGGCCATGACACATCCACGTGGTTGACACTGACAAACGATCTACAAACTCCTGTACAGGGTTTCAGTATAAACCCTGAGGGCATTTGCCTGACCTTGTCAGATACAAAATTACATTTCTTGTTATATCACTGTTGCTTCATCTTAGTCTTAACCATCCAACAGAAAAGTATAAAGAAGCAAAGCCATATTAATATGCTGAGCTGTAAAAGGTTCAAGTCAACAACTTCTGAGATTACCAGTCCTACAGTAAACCCACGACTATTTTGGACTACTGGACTATATTGGGATATTTTGCTGAATTCATGCACCTATAATATTTAAATGATAATGGAATACCCTTCTCTGACAAAACTAAAAAATTAATAGGGATACAAATGAACGATCATTTTGTATCTGTATACTCAAAATAGGATATATATATACAGTTGCATTCTCTTAATTCAATGAATAGAGATTTGTTGTAATAGTGTTTGTAGACAGGCTGTCATGTCTGCATCTTGTACAATGAATAACCACTAAGACAACAGTATGTAATGTATTAATTATTGAAACTGTGTTGGTAATCTATCTCGAAACTGTCTCATTACTATTTGTTTCTCAATAAAATTATTTAAAAATAGTTTGGATAGATATACAATTACTTTCTGTTAATTTAATGAGAAGAAAGATTTGTACTAATAGTGTTTGAACAGGATATCATGTCTGCATCTTGTACTATGAATATCCACTATGAAGACAACAACATGCAGTGTATTAATTATTGAAACTGCCTTAATCCATTGTGAAACTGTCTCATTGCTGCACTTGAAAGCAAATCTCCAAAAGAATAAAAGGAAAGCCCACAAACTAGGAAACAATTGTACCTAAGTGTCCCTCTGGCAAAGGCCTTCTATCTAGAACATATAAAGAATTTTTAAAAATCAGGAACATGAAATTTAAAGACCCAGTCCTAAAATTATACACTTCTCGTTGAAGAAGTTGAATGACAAGGGAATATATGAAAAAATTTTCAACATCTTCGGTGATTTTAAAAATGAAAATCAAAACAACACTGATCCCACCCCAAAGAGAATGGCTAGCATCAAGAAGTCAACCAATAACATATGCTGGAGAGGCTGTGAACAAAAAGCAAAGCTTTTGGACTTTTGGCTGTAGTGCAGACTGGCACAACCACCATGAACATTATCAGGGAGAATCCTTGAAATATTAGGATTGAAATTCCAGCCAGCCATTCCCCTTCTGGGTATTTCCCCAGAAGAACTGAAAACATCACACTAAAGCAATATATGTTCACACATGTTTAAAGCAGCATAATTTTTTAAAAATATCAAAACTTTATATATATTTAATAAAGATGCTCTAGATACTATGAGACAACAATAGTACCATTCCCTACTTCAATGAAGTAAGCTAAAAGTATACTAGGAACAAAGATCTGGAATGTTCCAAACACTTACCTTGTATGCAGCCACAAGAAAACACATTTATTTTATCTTGCTACAAATGTTGCAGATGTACCCTGAGAGAAATTTATAAAATCCAAAAAAAGAAAAAAAAAAAACAAGAAACAAAAGTCACA